TACGTTGAGACAAGTTGAGAGATACGGAGACAGACACAGGTGTTCTCAGAGAGTTATACAAGAGCTCAGAGAGAGATATAAACAAATTTTACTACGTTAATGAAAAACACTGATTAAAATAAAAATTAAAAAAATATAAATATATAAGAAATAAAGATAAAAAAATTATAATAAAATATAACAATAAATAATGAAAGGCAAATTAATTTAACCCAAATAAATAAATAAACAAATAAACGACTTCCGATAAAATAACCGCCAAAATAGACTACCCACAATGCACCATTGACCCGTATATATAAATAGCCAAAAAAAAAATAACAGCACTCGTGGCCTGACAATGTTCACTTTTACACACGCTCTATCTCTGATACTGAGCACTTTATCACATAAATATAGCACACCTTAAGACTATATTGTTTCATATATATATATATATATATATATATATATATATATATATGCGCTTTTCATGGAATATGACAGAGAAGGTGCTTTGATTTAGTTTTTATACAATTTCTCGTGTTATCATATATTGTTTTTATCTTTTCGGTAGACAAATTATATAAAAACTGTCTAATTGATCTTTCTTTTCTAGCGCTTTCGGCTATGCATTTAACCCTTTTCAAGGTTGAAATATGTTAACTGTTAACAAGAAATAGCTTGTTGTATATGTATGTATTTATATAATGTTTTCATTTTCAAAACATGGTCAAGATATTGTGTCCACGTTTTTAGTTGATATTATTGAGTTTTGTTTTTTGTTTTTATTAATAAGGTTTCCTTTAATTTTAACATTTTCTTCCATGTAGACGAAGCTTTTATATTTTTGTTATCAACGAGTATGTTACGAATAGGGTTCATTAGGTGTCCACAAGTATTTAAATGAGACTTAATAGAGCTATGGTCAGAAAGATGTAGTGTGAGTCTTCTTGTCAAACGTGTTGTAGTGTGGCCTATATAATTGTTTACAAATTTTGATTGATCAAGAATACAATCCCTTAATGGACATTTAAATTCGGAAATAATATTTGATCTATTCAATGAAACGTGCATGAAAGAAGGATTGGTGCCTAAATATATAAATATATATATGTGTGTGTGTGTGTGTAAGTAGGTAAGTTCTTCTATCGTCATGTTCATACTCCTCCCGTATTTTCTGTTTTTGGATTTGGTTTCCAGCTTGTTCTAAAGTCTTTTCTTTCTCTTACACTTCCAGTAACCAGAGTTGCGTCTCAGCGGCATTATCACCTTGCTAGTCTTTATTCGTAAGCTTTCTTTCACGTTGCTTTTACCGTTCCTGACTGACAAAAAATGCTTTCTTAATGGGGAATTAATGTTTTGTTCTTGTTGCTTGGCTTATCTATTTCTTCCATGTTGTACGCAATTACTTTTGTTTGTACAAGAAGCGAACTCATTGTTATCTGACAATTATTATAACATCGCTGTGTACTGATTGCCCAGATATAGCACCTGAATCCATTCTAAACCGGGAAAGTAAAATGGACTCGCTGAGTAAATGGTTCGCTGGATGAAAACTAATGTGCCTTGAAACGTAGCAAGTTGCGTCTTAAGTATACAGAAGAGTAATTTATGAATTACTTTAATATTTAAAAAATTAATTAATTTTTTTTTTAAAGTCGAGACACTAAGCATGCTGCTTTATGGATTAAATAACAGCTTTCACTGGCTTTAAGTATAGAGCAGACTTTCTCAAATAATTTGACCTGAAACCGAGCCATATACGTCCCAAGTTCACAGAAGAGTAATTTATGAATTTTTTTTTTAAGCATTACGCCCCAAGCAAGGCGTGAAGCCACTAGGATGCAGGGGGTTGCGGAAGATTTGAAGCGAGAGCAGATAGGAGTGATAGGAGAAAGGATGGAGAGAAGGATTGTGGGTAGATCAAGGAGATGTCGATTGACATTACATTTGAATAGTTGGAGATTATAGCCTTCAGGGAGGCAGTAACTGGGGAGGGTGTTCCACTGGCGAGAGGTGCGAGGTATGAAGCTATTGGAGTAGAAGAGACGGCTACATTTGAGAGTTTCTACGGTGTAAGGGGTGGGAGCAGGATGCCAGCCTCGTAGGGCGCTTGAATTCATGGAGTCTGGGAACCAGTGAAAGCAGCTCGTCAGAGCAGTTACCATGGAAGTATTTGTAGAAAAGACAGAGAGAGGCGACGGCGCGTCTGTGAGAGAGTGACTGTAGACGAGACGCCAGATCAGGGCCAATTAGATTACATATCCGTCTCTGGATCTTGTCAAGAACTCCGAGGTAAGTAGAAGGTGCCCCAGCCCATATATGGCAGCAATACTCCATGCAAGGGCGAATGGTTGTTTTGTATATTTGAAGTATAGATTCAGGGGAAAAAATTTCCTGGCGCGGCACAGAGAGCCAACTTTCCTCGCGGTGGAAGAAGCAATTGACTCAATGTATTTGTTCCATCTCAGGTCAGCAGTCAACGTGAGACCGAGCAGACGCAGGGAGTTGCTCTCAAGAAGTTGACTATCAGACATTCTAATGGTGGGCAGGGAAGGATCTCTATAGTGATTAATAGAGATTAGTTTAGTTTTTGAGGCGTTAAAGTTGACCAGCCAATTCTTGCCCCAGTTAACAACCGATTGGAGGTCCATTTCAAGACGCACAGCCAGGTTAGTTTTGTCGCCGACACTAGATTTGTTTTTGAGGCAAGAGTAAATTGTAGTGTCGTCCGCGTAGATGCCAACTTGGGAAGGTTGGTTTTATTGCATATCAATGTTTACGCGTTCTGGTATGCGATTTGGAAAAATCCGATTAAAGAAATGGTTCTCTGCGACGTATTTACGCCTCCCTTTATAATAGAAACAGTTTAATCCAGCGTCCTCAAGTCATGAAGACCGTTACAATTAAAACCAGTTTCTGTTTTCCCCTTGAAGGAATGCATTTTTTCTAGAAAGTGCTTATATGTTTCGGAAACGTAAATAAAGCAATTTGTAAAGAATTAATAGGCTAAATTTTACACTATTTACATTATATTGTCGCCATATTTATTACAACGTTTCGGCCGTTGTACGATCCGGCCTTCTTCAGTTGGATGGAATGTCGAAATTTGATTCAATGTATTTGTTCCATCTGAGGTCAGTAGTCAGCGTGAGACCGAGCAGACGCAGGGAGTTGCTCTCAGGAAGTTGACTATCAGACATTATAATGGGGGGCAGGGAAGGATCTCTATGGTGGTTAATGGAGAGTAATTTAGTCTTAGTGGCGTTAAAGTTGACCAGCCAATTCTTGCCCCAGTTAACAACCGATTGGAGGTCCATTTCGAGACGCACGGCCAGATTAGTTTTGTCGCCGACACTAGATTTGTTTTGGAGGCAGGAATAAATTGGTTTTATTGGTTTACGTCGTCATGCATAGATGCCAACTTGGGAATCTATAGCGTCGGGAAGGTCATTGATGAAAATAAGGAAAAGAGTGGGGCCAAGGATGGAGCCTTGGGGAACACCTGCGTTCGTGGGATAGGAACTGGAGGAGAATCCGTTGAGAACGACCTTCAATTCACGGTTATTTTTATATTTAGAAAAATTTCTTCCTTTTTTTTTTTTTTTTTTTTTTTTTCAAAATGTAGATAAACTAAGCACTTGGCTTTAAGGATTAATAAACAGCTTTAGCTGGCGTTCAGTATAGAGCAGCCTTTCTCAACTAATGTTCCCTGAAACGGAGTCAGATACGCTCCAAGTTAACAGAAGAGTAATTGATGAATTATTTTTATATTTAAAAAAAATTAGTTTCTTTTTTTTAAAGTCAAAGAAGAGGATTCTTACATAAATAAAACGAGTAAAAAAATTACTTTCAAAATTTTACTTGATTTTTTTTTAAATAAAAATTTAATTTAAGTTTTCACTAATAAATCATGTTAAAACGTAAGAAATACAAGTATCAAAATTCAAAATGATACAGTTATCCTGGTGCTCCGTGTCCTGGGTAAGACGATAAACTACGTCCAACAGCAAAGCCTCTGATCAGGAGGTTTTGAGGAGCGTGGAACCACCTCTTAATTGCTGGTGTTCCCAGGTCCACTCTGACCCACGGTGGAAGCAACTGTTAGGGTCCCAACTATGGACAAAGAGTTAACGCCAAAACCTCTTCAATGCATTTTTTTGACAAAAAAATTATTAGCAGCAATACATTTTTGTAAATAATTATTTCCACCCATACATTAGTAGTAATCCGTTCGTATATTCCAAATGAATCCTATTGACACAAAATGGAATTTCATACAATTGAAATTAAGACACTATTAGTTAATGATCATTTTCACCAGTGGATTTTAAATTTAAAATATATATATGTTAGGACTTTTCTTATGTATATACGTTCTTTTTATAGATAAAAATATTTAACTAAATGGTCTGTTTATAATAAACAGTATTAACGACGTTTACCGGCCTACAGTAAAATCGACCTTGTTAACCGAAACGCTCCTCTGTGGCTCAATCGGTAAAAGCACGTCAGGCTATATGACGGTTCCATATAGGATACAGGTTCTATTCCGTGTTGGAGGACGCATATTTTCTATGAAAATTTCTCGGACATTCAGGCCGGTAAATGTCGTTAATACTATTTATTATAAACAGAGCATTTACTTAAATATTTGTATCTATAAAAAGAACGTATAAACATAAAAAAATGTCTTAAAATAATTGTCGGACATTGTCCATTTCATAATATATATATATATATATATATATATAGATAGATAGATAGATAGATAGATAGATAGAAAGAGAGAGAGAGAGAGGGGGAGAGGAAGAGGCAGATAGAGATCGAAAGACAGATAGATGGAGATTTACCTAAATATTTGTATCTTAAAATAATTGTTTGACATTGTCCATTTCATAATATATATATATATATATATATATATATATATATATAGAGAGAGAGAGAGAGAGAGAGGGGAGAGGAAGAGGCAGATAGATATCGGAAGACAGATAGATGGAGAGATAGAAACACACAGAGATAGAGACACACAGAGATAGATAGATAGATAGATAGATAGATAGATAGATATGAAGAGACTGAATAGATAGATAGATAGATAGATAGATAGATAGATAGATAGATAGATAGATAGATAGAGAGGGGAGAGGAAGAGGCATAGAGATGAGACAGATAGATGGAGAGATAGAAACACACAGAGATAGAGACACATAGATAGATAGATAGATAGATAGATAGATATGAAGAGACTGAAGAGATAGATAGATAGAGAGAGAGAGAGAGAGACTGATAGAGATCGACAGACAGATAGGAGAGACAGATAGATAGATACACACAGATATATAGAGGTGGGGAGAGAAAGAGAGATTTATTAATTGGTTTTTAAGGGAGGAGATTTCTTAAAGTAACCTAAGCCGTGGTATTCAAGAAAACATACCAATGTAGATGTAGAAATTGATAGAATGAAGGAAGGAAAGAAAAATAAAAGAATGAGAAAGGAAAATAAAAAAAAAGGAAGAAAAGATTGTAATGTCATTCTTCGCACGATTCTTCGGGTCTTTTTTTTTTTTCGGAATACCAAACGCTGCCAGGTTAGCCATCGTCATTGATGTCGAAAGTTCAACCGCCCAAATCACGTTTTTGCCCAAGGACATGAACTTGAACCGTCGTTTTCGCCATTATTCTGATCATTTGTTTGCTTCTGCCCTCAGCCGTTTCCCTTCTGATATTTGGTGCAGGTCAAAGGTTGCGGGCGACGGGTAGTAATTATTAATATTTAAGCTTAGACTAAACAAAGAATGAATAATGACTTCAGTCTTGGTGAATTTCATTGATCTCTCTCTATCCGATGCTCTCGCGAAAGGGAGCGACAATGTGAAGCTAGCTTAGCGGTTATCATTTCAGACACTAAACGAACTAGTTTATGGTAAAGGTTAGCCGAATACAAGGTTCAAGAGCCACTCGCGGTAGAGTGTTACTGAATGTAAGAGATGGTCGGAAGTTGTTAGCCATAGGTTTAGTGATTTGAAATTAAGATCATGATAACAAGGATAGATAACGATTGAACCTTGACACTTAAGAGTTTGTTCCATAGTACCAAATACGGGGGAAACGTGACTGATTTGACTGCATGGACGCAGAATAGTGAATCCAAGCTGCAAAGGTCTGAACTGGTGGAATTGACCGAGCAACCTCTAACGTCTGTTGGTTGAAATTTACACAATGTTTCTCTGAAAACAATTTTTCAGGAAAATAGGTTCATAGCTGTTATCGCTCTTTCCAGTAGAGATGGGGAGTTTCCTTCCTAACATTTTGTATGAATTAGTGTGGAATGTCAAACAGCAAGCTTTGCTTTCTCCATCGATTTATAAAATCTTGTTCCTTTGTATTTTTGATGTAATATATTTGTTATGGTCTGTTTTTTCTGAGACAAAAAAAATTATGTTCATCATTGTTCTAAGATAAAATTGTTGGGTTCATCTGAAAATACAATTTTTACCTGTCAAGTGAAAAACGCTATAGTTATTTACTGTACAATTTTTAAAATTTATGATGAAAACACTGCGACAAACATCAAGGGAGTTAACTAATTTATTGAAATATCTAAATATTAAAAAAAAATAAATAAATATTTAAACGTAATAGCTAAAACCTAGATATTTTAAATTATCTCCTGTAAACATTTTAAAATATTTATGCAGGATTAATGGCGAATTTTATTAAATGTTAGTTTGAATATTTTAATATAGATAGCTACAAGAATTTTTAGTCTATTTATATTATTTTCATGAAAAAGTGTAGATGTATTTTCAACAGAAATTTCCCTAAAGTGCGAATATGGACAGATATGCTGTTGTAAATATTGAGATTTTTAGATATATTTTTCAAATGAAATTACAAGAGGATCCTATTAAAAATAAGTAGGTAAATCTTGTCTAAATTATTCAATATGTCTTAATGAAAACATTCTGACAAAGTAAACGCTATGTATATATATATATATATATATATATATATAAAAGACGATTCCATATAACTGTAAAATAGATATATTAGAAAATTAATCGTATCTAAATCTAATCATCCTCCATCTATAATTAAACATATACCTTTATCTATCGAAAAAAGAATAAGTACAAATTCAGCAAATAAGACGATTTTCTATGAACATATTAATTTCTACGATAAAACTCTAAAAGATAGTGGCTACAAAAGCCCAGAACTAACTTATATAAAAAAGGAAAATGAAAAGCATAGAAAAAAAAACAGAAGTAGAAAAATAATTTGGTATACACCCCCATACAACCAAATGTTAAAGAATAAATTAGAGAAAAAATCCTTGCATTAATCGTTAAGCATTTTCCTAAAGATAGTAAATTAAGTACTATTTTCAGTAAAAATACACTAAAATTCAGTTACAGCTCTACTGAAAACAAATTATTAAGAAACATAATGCTAATATTTGAATAAACACTTAGACAAAAACCAAAGAAATTTAGACAATATAAAAATAAAAAGAGATGAAGATAAACAAAAATTATGTAACTGTAGAAATCCTCATAACTGTCCTCTACAAAATAAATGTCACACAGAATCATTAGTATACCATATCTCATCTATTGAGAATCCTGAAAACATAAAAATCTATATAGGGGGCACAAACCATGAGTTCAAAAAGAGATTCAATCAACATCAAAATTCATTTAGGATGAATAAATACCGAAATCAGACGTCCCTATCGAAATATTTCTGGCACTTAAAAGAAACCAATAAAACACTATTTATGTATAGAAGTAAAAAGGAAATTAATAAGAAAAGCTAGAATATGTAGGTCATTAAACGACCCATGTCCTTTGTGCATATATGAGAAACTATATATTAGTAAGTTGATAAAAAATAAAAATTTACTGAACGAAAGAAATGAATTATCTATTCTTTGCCGACATTGTCAAAAATTTTCCATAAATAATATTTAAAAATAAAATAAAATAATTAAAAACGATTTGGGAGCTGGTAATATACATACTTTATTTGATATGTAATAATAATTTTTAAATAATTTAAGTAATTCTATTACATTTATTTCTTTTAAAAAGAAAATAATGGCGAATTTTATTAAATGTTAGTTTGAATATTTTAATATCGATAGCTTCA